GGAGGAACCCTGGTCAAGAAAGGGTGAGGCAGAAGGAAAGTTGTTAGCCTACTCTGAGAGGAGATAGCCAATAGAGAAGGAAAAGAACTACCCTGACTGAACACCCAATACATGCACTTCCACAGGTTACCTAGTGTAGTGTTCACCACAGCCGGCTAAGGCAGGTATCATTTCCATTTTCTCAGATAAGGAAACTGAGACTCGGTAAGTTCCCAGATGGTGAGTAGGGGGGCCAGGACTGACCCTGGGCCCAGGTTCTTCTGCTGCCTTAAAAAAAAAAAGAAATACAGCAAATCTAGTTAGAGTTTGTGTGCTGTTTATACTAAACACTCGCCCTTTTGCAGGGCACACACTCCATCTCTCCTGTCTTCTTTCGCTGTCTATGGCTGCCTCCTCTTGGAAGCAACAGGTTAAGTCAAAAAGGGGAGAAAGAAAAGGGCAAAGTGAGTATGGAAGAAAGCAGTGCCTTAGGCAAGAATTTCAGAGACAGAAAAAAGATCCTAAAAATTGGCTTTAGGGGAAGGGAAAGAGGATGGATTGAACAATTGAAGTGAAAGGCAAAAATGTTTGGGATGGAAGGCTCTGATGTGGAAATCATTGTATGCAAATTTTAAGCAAACGTGTTGGTGCCCTCTGGCAAACTTTGCCAGGAAAGCCTTTGCCTTGTCGGGTTTGGAGAAAAAGAGTGAGAGGATATTTTGTTTTTTTATTTTAAGGAGAGGAGCCCAGAGGACAAAAAGTCAATCTGTCCCTGTCAGGCCTGTCCTCTCCTGGGTGATGTTCCCTCGGTAACCACTAGGGAGCAGTAGTGTTTCTTTCCCTCCCGTGGTGGGCCAGAGGAGGGAGGGGCTCTGCCCAAGGGGAGTCCTTGTCTTGTTGAGGGTTCCAGAGGGAGCGCTCCTACCCAGCTTTGCCTCCTGTTCTACTGGCTAACCTGAACCCACACCCTGGCCCCGCGGTGAGGGGCAGTCTCTCCTTCCTCATACGTCATGTTTTTGGTCCTTTCTTTGCCCTTGACCCTTGGGCTCCTGTAATTCTCTGGTTCTGAAGTCTCGCTGTGCTCTCCCTGGCTTGCGTGGTCTCAGAGCCTGCCTATTCAGCTTTCCACAGCTTCACCTCGAGCCTTTCTGTCCATCTCATAACATCTCTTTCTCAGCAGCTTTCTGGGTCCTACTGTCTGTCTTGGAGCCTCCTGGCTCCCTAGCGTCTTCCTGTTCTAAGCACTGTGTATCTGCCCTCTGAACAGGGATTTCATATCAAGTAGGAATTCTTCACCAGCTATTGACGGGGTGCCTTTCTGCCCAGCTCCCATGGAAGAATATTTGCAGTTCAGTGATTAGGCAACAACTCCCTAGCTAAGCTTTGAAAGTAGCACTTCCATCCTTCCCTTCCTATCCTGAGGAATAACCAGAGACCCGGGTCTGGAAGGAGGAAGAGGGCAATACCAAAACCAAAAACATCTATCTCTCCACAGCTTTCTCCTCTCCACACCCTGTGACGGTGGGAAGCATTAGGGAGGGCGGTGGAATGGGAGGGCAGCACTGGCGCTCTGGAGACGGGGAGGGCCTTTTAGGAGCTGGAAGATTCATCTCAGGGGATGACTACACCCTCAGAACTCCCCACCTCCCTCAGCTCCTGGCCTGCCTCCTCCCATCCCCCTCGGTGGCAGCAGCCTTGTAATTTAAAGCTCTCTCTGTCGCCTCTAATGTGATCCTCTCGTTTTATTGACTCTCTCTGCCGTCTGTGGCGCCCCTTCACATCAATCTCCGTTCTAATCACACCACCGCACTGCCTGCTCTGTCTCCCCTAACCCTCGCCTCGTGGGCCCCTAGTCCATGCCTCTACCCAGCTCTTTCCTTTTGACTGCCCCCACCCCCCCTCCACCTGATTCGCCCTCTTCCTCCTCCCCTCCTCCAGAGGCAGGAATGCCAGCCAGGGCTTTTGAGGGGTTGCCTTCTCCCTTTCCCCACTGCTAAGATGTGCCCTGAGGGAGAAGAGAGGCCCTTAAGGAAAGCCCAGAACTAAAAGAGGAATGGCAGTGGTCTGAGGGAAAACAGGATTCTAGGTGGGGGGGTGACTTTTAGGCCTATCATCTGGTTCTGCATCATCTCTAGAAACAGACGAAAACTGAGCTCAAGATAGGAAGGGCAGAGAAAGGGACAGAGATTCATAGAGGGAAGAAAGAAAAGTCTGAGGAGGAAGGACATGGAAGGAGGAAAAAAAGTGAAAAAATAATTGCTGCAGTTAAAGGTTTGTAATAAATAGTGGGTGATGGGAGAAGCAGTGAGAAAAAGGAAGGGGGCGGGGGAGTTGGGGGTGCACTGAGGCAGAGATAAATTTGCAATTGAAATTCTTTTCTGAAGAGGAGGAGGGGTAGGTTGGGAGGTGGGGAAGAGATTTGCAATTTTAAACAGCTGCCGACCTACCCTCAGCCGTTCTGCATCTCACCCACAGGCTAGCCCAAAGCTAAGCTCCTTTGGTTTCTAGCTATGAATCAGCGGTGGGTTGGTTTTTTTTTTCCCCCAATCCTGGGAAGTAACAGCTTTGGAGAGAGGATTTGGGGCTTAGGTCTTCCTAGCCCTCCTCTGAAGTTGGATCTAGAGTTGTGAAGAGCCAGGGAGAAGGAGCTGATTGGTGTGATGTCAGCAGGGTGAGCCCATGGGGAGACAGCACCTACCCAGTTCAGCTCTCAGCCGCACGCAGGGCCCAGGAGAGGCCCCTCTTGCCTGGTCTGTTCAAGGTGGGCCCCGCTGTGGGGGTGACAGTGGAACGTCAGACCCTCACAAACCAGCATACTTACCCCCACCCCCCATCACCATCAAGGAAGGATTCTGTAGAAATCCTTTTCTCCCATAACTTCAGGGCTTCTGCTTTCTGGTCATCCAGGATAGACTCCCCTCCATCTAATTCCTTTACTTCCCTTTTAGTTCTTCACCCCCCTACCCCACCAATCCCCTCCACCCCTGGCCCAGGTGCTGATTTGCATTTTCATTAGCATGCTGATACAGCCCCACTCTGAGCTCCTTAATGGTTTTACTTCACGCCTGGCTAGCCCCTCAGGACGAGGAGGGAAGTGCGAACGGGGCCTGCAGACTGAATGGGGCCAGACTAAGGACCCAGTCCCAATCAAGGAATGTAAGAGAAGTAGCCAAAGGAAGGAGAGGCCATACCCCTCATCCCTTCCCTGAAGCACTCTGGCCTGAATGTTATAAGTTTGATTATTAGCGATCTGCTGGTATCTCTAATAATTAGAGAGTTTATAGGCCACTTGGGACATTGGGAGAAGTATGGGATGGTGAGGCATGGGGAATTGGTGAGTTTGAAGGGGGCAGTCAAGATAAAAATATTGGGAGCAGCTTGGTACTTCTAGTCAGCTAGAGGGAGCTCAGAATCCTGAATTCTAGACCTTTTGAGGCCATTTTGCCTGTACTGTGTCTGAAGGACAGTCTGACTGGATGGAGGAACCCAGGCCACCATTTAGGGTATAGCTCTGTCCTGCCAATCCTCTTCTAGTTTCACCACCTTGGAGCTGTGTGACCATCAGCAGCTCACTCAACCTTTCTGTTTCTTGGCTGCCTCATCTATAAAATAAGATTTGTTGTAAGATTAAATGAGATAATTAATGTAAAGCATTTATCAGTGCCAGGACCAACCATGGTATATATACCTTAATAGCTATTAGTAATATTATTACTGTTATTTATCTTTTATCTCTTTGGGGAGGAGGCTAATCACATAAAAGCTGTTGTCTTTCAATTGGGCAGGGAAGCTCCCACCAATTCCACATGCTTGTGACCAGAGATGGGTCTGGTTGGCATCTGTGAGCAACATGGTGCCTACATGCCAATGGAAATTTCACTGTAGCCTTTCTGTCAAGAGAACTTTGACTTAGGGAAATTACCTCTTCAGGGCTTGAAAATCTGCAGGTCTTTCCCAGAGCTCATTCATTCAACAGATACTATTGACTATGTGGCAGGCAACGTTGTCAGTGCTGATAGAGCAATAAATAAAGCAGACAGAATTCCTGCTCTCAGGGAACTTAACTTCTAGGAGGGAGAAATAAGTAATCCAGGAAATACCAGGTAGGATTAAATCTCTAAGAAAGTAACCTGTGGGGCTGTTTAGCTTCTGTGGAGACGGAAAGTCTGTTGGAAGAGGCGAGAGACCTGAATGAGGAGCCACCAGGCAGAGGTCTAGGGGAAGAGTGTTCCAGGCAGAGTAAACAGCTTGGGCAAGGCTCTAAGGTAGAAATGATCTTGGGGCGTTTGAGGAACAGAAAGAGGGCCAGTGAGCTCCAGCCAGCCAGCCAGGAGTCAGGTCAGATAGGCCCTTTTGTGGATGGGGAAAGGAGTTTGGGTTTTATTCACAGTGCAGTGCAAAATTATTGATGGGTTTTAAGCAGGATATAGTATGATTTATTTAAAAGATGGTTCTTTATGATGCCTGAAATTTGCTTTAAAACAATACAGGAAAAGGGAGTGGGTGAGGATATAGATGAAACAAGATTGGCTGTGAGCTGGTGACTGTTGAGGGTGGTTGATGAGTACAAAGGTGTCCCTTATATTATTAGGTCTACTTTTACATATGTTTGGCATTTTTCATAATTGAGAATTAAGGAAATGACAGTGGCTTGGGCCAGGATGGTGCTGGTGGAGATGAAGATAAATGGAGGGATGTGACACATGTTTGAGAAGGTTGCTGGGTGCAAGAGAAAACCTTTAGGTTTTTAGCCTAAGCAACCAGATAAATAGTGGTACCAAATTCTGAGATAGGAAAGATAGGGAAGAATAAATTCAGGGGAGAAATAAAGAGTTATGATTTTGGACGTGTTAGGTTTGAAGCCTGTTAGAAACAAAGTGAAGCTTCAAGTTAGCAAATGGATACCTGAGTCTGGTGCTCAGGGAAGAGGGTGGGCTGGAGTATCAGGAGAGTCACCGCCTGGCTGATGGCTGCGCTACTTGCTACCTGACAGCACCGCTCTCTCTGTGTTTCCCCTGCAGGGTACTGGCTGTCACGCTGAAATGAAACCCCAGTGTTCCTCCGTCTGCCATGGCCACCCTTAACTCATCCTCCACCACTAGCACTACCCCCTCCCCTGGGCACAATGCTCCGTCCCCGCCTCCGGACACTTCCTCCCTTGGCACCCCCTCTGATCCTGTCACCAAAGATCCCCCTCCTGCCCCCTCCACCTCTGAGAGCATGAGGCCCTCAGAGCCAGGAGGACAGCCCCTGGAGTCGGGCTGTGGCCTCATCCCACCAAAGGAGACTGGGGAGCCTCCAAGAGAATCCGGCTGTGGTGGCTTCCCACCAAAGGACCTGGGGATGAAGGAGGACAAGGAGCCCAAGGAGGAAGGCGAGCTCCCCCCTGTGGACCTCAGCAGCCACTTATTCACAGCGGGCAGTGAGGCCTGCCTAGTAGCCAAGCTGTCCCTGCCAGGTGGCAGTGAACTCCTGTTACCAAAGGGCTTCCCCTGGGGCGAGGCGGGCATCAAGAAAGAGCCCAGCCTACCCCCCCCGCCCCCCGCCCCCCTCACTGCCCTTCACGTCCACCATGGCTTTGACCCAATCCAAGGCTTTAGCTCTTCTGACCAAATTCTGTCCCATGATACCTCAGCGCCATCTCCGGCCACCTGTGAGGGGAGGGATGGAGCCTTCTGGAGCTATCAGCTGGCACCCAACCCGCCCGGAGATCCCAAAGATGGCCCCGTGGGGAGCAGGGGGGAAGACCACAGGGCACTGTTCTGGCTCTGCCTCCTGTGCCGCCTGGGTTTCAGCCGGCCCCAGGCCTTTATGGGTCACATACAGTCTCATGGGGTGAAGCTAACCCCTGTTCAACACCAGGGCCTGCTGGGCAACCCAGCCGTGCTCCAGGAGGGGGACGAGGGCTGCATGGCCCTCCTAAGCTTTCTGGAACCAAAACTGCCTGCTCACCCCCCTTTAAAAAACCTCCTTGACAGCAGCACAGTGAACCTGGAGGCGAATGTAGCCCTGACTGAGGATGGCCCTCCTGAGGCAGAAGCCCAGGCCCTTGTCCTGCCCACAGAAGAAGTCATGGCCCTCAGTCCGCCCTCCCCACCCACAACCCCAGCCGCCTGGGACCCCACCCCAACCCAAGCCAAAGAATTGCCAATGGCAGCAGGCGAGGCAGGGCCAGATTGGTTCCCTGAGGGGCAAGAAGAGGATGGAGGGCTCTGCCCCCCACTCAACCAAAGCTCACCCACCTCCAAGGAGGGGGGCACTCTCCCCGCCCCAGTGGGCTCTCCTGAAGACCCCAGTGACCCACCCCAGCCCTACCGCCTAGCCGATGACTACACTCCAGCCCCTGCAGCCTTCCAGGGCCTCAGCCTGTCCAGCCACATGTCTCTGCTACACTCACGCAACTCCTGCAAGACACTGAAGTGTCCCAAGTGCAACTGGCACTACAAGTACCAGCAGACCCTGGACGTGCACATGCGGGAGAAGCACCCTGAGAGCAACAGTCACTGCAGCTACTGCAGTGCCGGGGGGGCCCACCCCCGCCTCGCTCGCGGAGAGAGCTACAACTGTGGCTACAAGCCCTACCGCTGCGATGTCTGCAACTACTCCACCACCACCAAGGGCAATCTCAGCATCCATATGCAGTCTGACAAACACCTGGCCAACCTGCAGGGCTTCCAGGCGGGGCCCGGTGGGCAGGGAAGTCCCCCCGAGGCATCGCTCCCGCCCTCTGCAGGGGACAAGGAGCCCAAGACCAAATCATCCTGGCAGTGCAAGGTGTGCAGCTACGAGACCAACATCTCTCGCAACCTGCGCATCCACATGACCTCTGAGAAGCACATGCAGAATGTACTCATGCTCCACCAGGGGCTGCCACTGGGCCTGCCACCTGGGCTGGTGGGGCCAGGTCCCCCTCCCCCAGCAGGAGCTGCCCCCGCCACCCCCCCTGAACTCTTCCAGTACTTTGGGCCACAGGCCCTAGGGCAGCCCCAGGCTCCCTTGCCTGGCCCCGGGCTGAGGCCAGACAAGCCCCTGGAAGCCCAGCTGCTTCTCAATGGCTTCCACCACCTTGGAGCACCTGCCCGCAAGTTCCCCACACCTGGTAAGCTCCCTTCTGCCCCCTCAGGGCCAAACTCTATTCCCTGCTGTCTCCCCAGGGCCAGCCCCCGACTTAGGCAATCCCAGCTCCCTCAGCACTATCCTCATTTACCCACAATCCTACAGAGCAACAGACCCTGCCCCATTCCTTCCTCAGGCCACTAATCTGTCTCTGTCCCGTAGCCCCTGGCAGCCTCTCCCCGGACACCCACCTGCCTCAAAGTCAGCTCCTGGGCTCCTTGTCCGACGGCCTGCCCACCTCGCCGCCTCCAGAGGACAGCCCATCCCTGAAGGTGTTCCGCTGCCTCGTGTGCCAGGCCTTCAGCACGGACAACCTGGAGCTGCTGCTGTACCACTGCAGCATGGGCCGCAGCCTCCCAGAGGCCGAGTGGAAGGAGGTGGCCGGTGACACCCACCGCTGCAAGCTCTGCTGCTATGGCACCCAGCTTAAGGCCAATTTCCAACTCCACCTCAAGACTGACAAACACGCTCAGAAGTACCAGCTGGCAGCCCACCTGAGGGAGGGGGGTGGGGCCACAGGCACCCCCTCCCCTGTGCCCCTGGGAGATGGGACTCCTTATGGGTCTGTCCCCCCCCTGCACCTGCGCTGCAATATCTGTGACTTTGAGTCCAACAGCAAGGAGAAGATGCAGCTGCATGCCCGGGGTGCGACCCATGAAGAAAACAGCCAGGTCTATAAGGTGAGAGGGGCAGAAGGGCTGAGCAGAGAGTCTCTGTGTAGAGGAAAGTGGAGACGGGATGGAGATGCAGAGCGGGGAAAGTGATGGGAAGCCAAGGGTGGCAGAACTGGAGAAAAAGGCCCACATGTCCCAGGAGAATATACAGTTTGGAGACAGGTGTGGAGAAAGAGACCAAAAAATGGTGGACTCGGACAAAGTGAATCCAATACTTTATTCAGCTTTTCTGGTGTTTGGGGCTAGAGGGAGCAGTCTGCCTCTGCTCAGTCCATCTTGTTACCAGAAGTTTGAGAACAGAACCAGATTTCATTCACAAACCAGGAGGGAGTCTAGGATTGTTAGGAAGAAAAGGAGACGGGAGAGAAAGCCACTCAGATGGCCTTAGCGGAGGGAAAAGGGGCTCGAGGGTGGAAGGGCGGGGTGGGGAGGGGGTGCTGCTGGTCAGGTTCCCACGGGGGAGAGGCAAAGGAGTCTCCTGAGATCTGGAGGTGTCTGTCCCTTCTGGGCCTGAGCAGCCTGTTTCCTTCTTTCCAGTTTCTGCTGGAGATGGAGGGGGCAATGGCAGGGGCAGAGCTGGGGCTGTTCCGCTGCCTGCTGTGTGCCTGGGAGACGCCCTCCCGCCTGGCTGTGCTGCAGCACCTGCGAGCACCGGCCCACCGAGATGCCCAGGCCCAGAGGCGCCTGCAGCTGCTACAGAGTGGTCCAGCAGCTGAGGAAGGGCTCTCAGCTCTTCAGAGCATCCTGAGCTTCAGCCATGGGCAGCTCCGGACTCCTGGTGAGGGAGGGGACTGGAGGGGAAGGGCTGGGCAGGGAGGGCACTGGCTCAGGAGCCCGGGGCTGATGAGAAAGTGATGCAAGGCGGGAGTGGGTCTGTGGGCACTCACTAGCAAGTGAGAAGGAGTTGTGAAGGGGTGACAAAACTGCATTTCTGGAAGAGTGGGGGCTTCGGAGTGAAGAGGCTGCTGGAGGGAGGAGGAGCAGAGAAGGGCAGGGACTTTGCTGGGTGGACAACAGAACAGGAAGAGAGGTGAAGCGGAATCACCCAGTGATTCCAGGTAGTGACCAGTGTCCTAGCAGTGCTGAGTGGGTAGGGGGACAGGAACTCGTCAGGAAGGAGAGACAGGCAGAAAGACAGAAAAGAATGGGCCAGTACATATCGGAAGCTGAGGAGCTGTGGACATGGCCTGAAGAGAGAAGGGAAGGGAAGCCCTTGACAGCTCCCCAGCCTCTTCCTGTCTCCTAGGAGGTCTTAATGAGGGTCCCCCCTTAGGCAGCTCAGGTTGTACCAGCAGAAACTGGGAAGAACCCACCAGGTACCATTGATCCAGAGGGTGCAGAAGGGCCTGAAAGGGCTGTCAGAGGTGGGCAAGGGCCTCTGGGCTATGTAGAAGCCAGTTTTGGGCGAAGGTGAGGGCACGGGCAGCAGGAACCAGGAACAGGCAGCATTGACTGGTGCTAATTGAATTGCCAATATGCTGGCTGGAGTTAAGTGCCGGAGGGGCCCAGATCAATAGCTAACGATCCTGGCGCAGGGCTGAATGGAGTTAAGGAACTTTAACACTTTAATTAGGCCGCCACCGAAAATAAATTCCTACACATCTGTCAATTCTTACTTGAGTGGTAATCTCCTCTCCCCGTTAGACCTGCCGCCTCCTGCTCACCGAATCACCGAAGCTGCTTCCATTCAACCTCACCTTCCTTCTTTAGTGCCTCTCCCTCTACATTTCTGGGCTCCTCACTTCCAGGATCAGTCAAGACAAGGAGCCCAGTTTGGTCCTATTTCTGTCCCCTAATGTTGGACTTGTTTGCTCATCTTTAAGTGACAGGCTGGACTCAGAGATGATGTCTAAGGCCCTACCAGTTCTAACACTGTAATTTCCCCCTCATCCTCTGTATTTTTTTTGGTCCTCCCCTGCCTGTTGATTCATCCATCCATTTTCTCCTTCGTTGTGTGGCTAGTTGTCCTGCTTTCCGTGCCCTTTGTCCTCCCTTTCCTAATGCTTCATCCTTATAAGCTGACTCACCTCATTCTACACAGGAAAGGCTCCTGTCACCCCTTTAGCTGAGCCACCCACCACTGAGAAAGATGCCCAGAACAAGACAGAACAATTGGGTGAGTTGTTCATCTGGTCCATTTCCCTCCAGCCCTTGCCCTCCCCACTCTCCAATCCTCATACATTCTGAGATGCTCATCGGACCTTGCAGTAATCCAGACACCCAGCAAGGCCTCCTGTTATTGAGGAGTCAAAGTGACTCAAAGAAAGTGGGCTCACCAGAGGGAAAGGAGGCAGAGCCACAGAAGGCTAGGTGCTTCTGTTCTCTTCGAGGACCCAAACCTGGCCACCCCGCTAACCTGGGGTCAGCCCTGCCAAGCTTCCCCTCGCTGTACTCAGTATAGCTCTGTACTTTCCCTACCTTTCTCCCTTTCCCCAGAGCCCATCCCCCTACTCTGGAAGCTCTGCTACAAATCAGGTCATCCTAAGGGTTGGGGGTCTGTGAAAGGAAGAGGGAGGGCTGTCAGAGTCTCTTAATCTCCTCTCCTTTCATCTTCAGCTTCTGAAGAGGCAGAGAACAAGACTGGCCCTCCCAGAGACAGTGTCAACCAGACCACGGTCAGAACTGGGGTAACGGGGAAGAGCTGAGGGGGGTCTAGTTTTACTGAGATCTGCTTATATTCTAAAGTCTGAAATTGTAATCAGCAGAGCTTTACAGACAGATTTCAGGCCAAAGGGAGATCTAATTTTGTCATGCTGGCGACTTGTTTCACTCAGGATACATTTAAGAAATTCCACCTAGGTCCAGTTACATATGTTCAGCATCAACAGGGGACAGAGCTGGCCCCCAGGGGTGGAACATAAAAGGAGATGACAGCAATTTGAGGGAAAGGTGATGAGAGAAACTATTGCGGACAGAAAAGATTTGGAGGTAGGTGGGGGGAAGAAGGGAGGAAAGATTAAAAACTGAAGAGAGAAAGGCAAAAACAAAAAACTAGCTGCCGCCCAGGTCTTTATTCCTGTTAGGGGAAGAAAGACAGCCAGACATGGATGTTTGTCTCCTACAGAAAGCCCTGAGCCTAGATAGAACTGTCCTGGCACCTCCTTCCTGGGGGTAGAGGCACCAACCCAGATGATTCACACCAACGGCAAGCCCTGAAAATCTCTACGTCTGCAGGATACAGGCTTCTGCCTGACCTAGGCAGGCCCCAGGAGTAGTTCAGCTCTATAGCCCGAAAGTGCTAATTCTGAAAGGACTCCCAGCCTTTGGTCCTGAGGTGCCATCTTGTGCCTCACAGCTCTCCAAACTGGACTGCAATATGCAGTCTTGATTACAATTGCCTTCCTGCAAACTGCTACAGCCATGGCTTATGTCCTCAGCTTCCCTTCTTCCTAACCCCTGTCCTAGGTGTCTGCTCCTAGGCCCAGGTGCATTCGGATGAGCATCTGGATACCTTCCCTTTATGGCTATCCTCTCCCTGGCACGTGGGCCTGGACCCATGGCACAGGGAGCAGGAGAGGAAGTGAGCCAGGGAGACGAATGCAGGCTGGAGGTCAGGCAGTCAGGTGACTAAGGCGGAAACAGGGGCCTTCTCACCCCACCCCAGGCCCCACAGCCCCACCCTCAAGGTGTGGGCGGGAATGCACCAACAAAGCCAGGCCAGAATTTTCCAGAGCCACTGGGGGAGCTATGGCATTTGTTTATATTAAGAAGGGAAGAGAAGAAAAAAAATGGAAGGGAGGAAAAGAAAGTGGGAGCTGCTGAGCCTCTGAGGGAGAATGAGCCGTCTTCTGAGCAGACAGGTAGGGAGGGCCCCGACCTGAGACACTTAGTTCAGGGACCTTGGAGGGGCAGAGTGGACAGGGATGAGGGGGCCTCTGGGTCCAGGAACTGTCAGAGGGAAGGGGAGTCATTTCAGGGAGAAGATACAGGCAGTGTGGGAGTGGGTAAGAAAAGAAAACTAAATCCAGGGGAGGTAGGTACAGGGTCACTCTGTCAGCTGGAGAACTGAGTAGGGCAGCAGAGACAAGGAAAGACAGACCAAGGAAAGAGAGGCCAGGATGGAGGGAGAGGGACAAAGAAGGCAAGGTAGCAGCCTAACCTAGGCCCTTGTCCCAGTCCATGGAAAGTGAGGGAGGAGCCAGCTTTCGGGACTGTGGCTGCGTCCATGGTGAGGCCTTCCTATTGAGCTCACTGTTCCTGAATTGGGAGTGGGGCATTGTGCTGGGTCCAGGAGCCCAAAGGCTGAGGGATGGTGGGTCCCACCTTCCCTGATACCCCCCTCCACCACCCATGTGCTCTTAGGTATACTGCTGTCCATACTGCAGCTTCCTGAGCCCGGAGTCGGACCAGGTGAGGGCTCATGCACTCTCCCAGCATGCAGTGCAGCCCAAGTACAGGTGCCCGCTGTGCCAGGAGCAGCTGGTGGGCCGACCTGCCCTGCACTTCCACCTTAGCCACCTTCACAACGTGGTGCCTGAGTGTGTTGAGAAGCTGCTGCTTGTGGTGAGTACAGGCTGTGTGAGGACCCACCCAGAAGGCCCTGTCAGGGCCGGGCAGGAGGGGAGATGGGCAGGGGCGTTGGGCCAGTGTGTGTGTTGGTGAAGGAAACAGCGTCTCACAGATTTAAAGGTGGATTGTAGAGATGGAGGGAGCCTCGGAGTGGAGCTTATCTTGCTGCCTTACTTGCCTGTGAGGAAGCTAAGCATTTCTTTAACTTCTATTAGGTCCTGAGAAGAGCTGTTCAACAGCGGGTCCGGGCTGCGAGACAGGACAGGTGCAGCCCAGGCCCTCTGCTCCGTGGGAAAAGCAAACGCTAGGTGGGAGGTTTGTCCAGAGAAGGGGCTAGAGCCATGGAAAGGGGCTGGGCACAGGCAGAGGAGCAGCCAGAGGACAGGGGTGGGTGAGTGGGTTGGGGGAAGTCACAGAGCTTCCTTCCATTACAGGCCACAACTGTAGAGATGACCTTTACGACCAAAGTGCTGCCTGGGCCCCCTCTCAGCCCGCTGGAGGGTGACCCAGACCCCCTGGCTCCTGGGCCAGAGCCTGTACCCAGCAGAGACCAGGCAGCAGGTAAGGAAGGGGATGGCAAGCCTCCTGATGTGGCAGGAAAGGGGACCTGGGCTCCACAGACCAAGAAGGTCTGAAGGCTACCGAGGCAAGGATCACTTGCCCTCGATAACGAGTGGGTGGTGTCGACTTAAACAACATTCCCTTCTCATTGCAACCCCTTCTCTCCCCTAGAAGGCCCTCACCTGACCCCAGAAGCCAGTCCCGATCCTCTTCCTGAGCCTCCCCCACCCTCAGCTGAGGCCCCAGACAAGCCCGCAGGAAGCCCTGACCAACCCCCCTCTCCAGCCCCATCTCCAGCCCCTCGGCCTGATGCCCAAGCTGAAGAAATGGCTCCTCCACCCCCCATGGCTGAGGAGGAAGAGGGGCCTGTTGGGGAGTCTCGCCCTGCAGAGCCAGCTCCAGCTGACTCTCGCCACCCTCTCACCTATCGGAAGACCACCAACTTTGCCCTGGACAAGTTTCTCGATCCTGCCCGGCCCTATAAGTGCACTGTGTGTAAGGAGTCCTTCACGCAGAAGAATATCCTCCTGGTCCATTATAACTCTGTATCCCACCTGCACAAGATGAAGAAGGCTGCCATTGACCCCTCTGGCCCTGCCCGGGGAGAGGCTGGTGCCGCGCCTCCCACCGCTGCTGCCACAGACAAGCCCTTTAAGTGCACAGTCTGCCGAGTCTCCTACAACCAGAGCTCCACCCTGGAGATCCACATGCGCTCTGTTCTGCACCAGACTCGCTCACGGGGGGCCAAGACCGACACCAAGGCTGAGGGGCCAGAGCGCAGCCAAGAAGAGCCCAAAGAAGGCGAGACTGAGGGGGAGGTGGGCACTGAGAAGAAGGGCCCCGACCCCAGTGGCTTCATATCTGGATTGCCATTCCTGACCCCGCCTCCCCCTCCCTTGGACCTGCACCGATTCCCAGCCCCTCTCTTCACCCCACCAGTCCTGCCCCCCTTCCCTCTGGTGCCCGAATCACTACTTAAGCTCCAGCAGCAGCAGCTGCTCCTGCCCTTCTACCTCCATGACCTTAAGGTGGGGCCCAAGCTGGCACTGGCTGGGCCTGCACCTTTGCTGTCCCTGCCGGCTGCCACCCCTCCTCCCCCACCCCCACCCGCCAAGGCTGAGCTGGCTGAGCGGGAGTGGGAGCAGCCCACCACGGCTGAAGAAGGAACCGAGGTAGGGCCAGCCTCACCCCCGCAACCAACACCCAATGAGGCAGCCCGTACGGCAGCCAAAGCCCTTCTAGAAAACTTCGGCTTTGAGCTGGTGATCCAATACAATGAAGGGAAGCAGGCTGTGCCCCCTCCTCCAACCCCACCCCCACCAGAAGCCCTGGGGGGTGGGGACAAGTTGGCCTGCGGGGCCTGCGGGAAACTCTTCTCCAATATGCTCATCCTCAAGACACACGAGGAGCATGTCCACCGCCGCTTTCTGCCCTTTGAGGCCCTCAGCCGTTATGCTGCTCAGTTTCGAAAGAGCTATGATAGCCTATACCCACCCCCTGCAGAGCCCCCCAAACCTCCCGATGGGTCTCTGGATTCACCTGCTCCCCAACTGGGTCCACCCTTCCTGGTGCCAGAGCCCGAGGCAGGGGCGGCCTGTCCCCCTGAGGAGCGAAGCCGGGCAGGAGGACGCTGGCCCCCAGAAGAGGAAGAAAGCTCCAGAGGGAACCTTCCTCCCCTAGCACCTGCAGGCCGCCGGTTCTCCAGAACCAAATTCACAGAGTTCCAGACCCAAGCCCTGCAGGCTTTCTTTGAGACGAGTGCCTACCCCAAGGATGGAGAGGTGGAGCGACTCGCAAGTCTCTTGGGCCTGGCTAGCCGTGTGGTGGTGGTATGGTTCCAGAATGCCCGCCAGAAAGCACGCAAAAATGCAAGCGAGGGGGGGCCCGTGCCGACCACAGGAGGCACTGGGGGAGTCTCGAGCTGCAGGCGCTGCCATGCCACCTTCTCCTGTGGTTTTGAGTTGGTGAGACACCTCAAGAAATGCTATGACGACCAGCCCGCTGAGGAGGAGGAAGAGGCAGAGCGAGGGGAAGAAGAAGAAGAGGTAGAGGAAGAGGATGCAGAGGAAGAACAGTGCCTGGAACTCCCAGCAGGGCCTGAGGGCCCATCACCAGAACCTGCAGACAGGGAAGAATTGAACCAGGCAGAGGCATCCAAGGTGGGAGGCAGAGAGCCTGAAGGGAGGTCTCCTCCCTCACCTTCTCCAGCCCACGCCTGCGACCAGTGCGCCACGTCTTTCCCCAGCCAGGACCTGCTGACCAGTCACCGCCGACTACATTTCCTGTCATCTGTGCAGCCCAGCGCTGCCCCCCACCTCCTAGATCTGCCCTTGTTGATGTATGGGGAGCGAAACCCCCTGGTGGCAGGTACCCCGCCAGTGCCAGGGCCACCCCTCAAACGGAAGCATGAGGATGGCAGCCTGTCCCCCACAGGCAGTGAAGCAGGGGGTGGAGGGGAGGGCGAGCCCCCCAGGGACAAGCGCCTGCGCACCACCATCCTGCCTGAGCAGCTGGAGATCCTGTACCGCTGGTACATGCAGGACTCCAACCCCACACGCAAGATGCTCGACTGTATCTCCGAGGAGGTGGGGCTTAAAAAGCGAGTGGTGCAGGTCTGGTTCCAGAATACCAGAGCCCGCGAGAGGAAAGGCCAGTTTCGAAACACCCCTGGGGGAGTGCCCAATCCTACAGTCAAGCCCCCTGTCACACCCACCCCTGCACCCTTTCCCAAGTTCAACCTGTTGTTGGGCAAGGTGGATGATGGGACTGGGAGGGAGGCCCCAAAGAGAGAAGCACCTGCTTTTCCTTACTCTACAGTCAACCCAGCTGCTGGGACTCTGCCTTTCCTGCCATCTGGGAAAGAGGCTAGCACCCCAACACCAGAGCCACCTCTACCTCTCCTACCTCCCCCTCTTCCCAGTGAGGATGAGGGCCCGGAGGAGCCGGTGAAAACTTCTCCAGAGAGTGAGGCTTGCAGTCCATCTGCAGGGGATTTAAGCGATTCATCTGCTTCCAGCTTGGCTGAACCAGAGTCCCCTGGAGCTGGAGGGACTAGTGGGGGACCAGGAGGTGGGGCCGGGGTTCCAGATGGAATGGGGCAGCGGCGCTACAGGACCCAGATGAGCAGCCTGCAGCTGAAGATCATGAAAGCCTGCTACGAAGCCTACCGCACCCCCACGATGCAGGAGTGTGAGGTGCTGGGGGAGGAGATCGGGCTGCCCAAGAGAGTCATCCAGGTCTGGTTCCAGAATGCTCGTGCCAAGGAAAAGAAGGCCAAGCTGCAGGGGGCAGCAGTTGGCGGGGCTGGGGGCAGCAGTGAGGGCCCCTTGGGAGCCCAGCGCACAGATTGCCCCTACTGTGATGTCAAGTATGATTTCTATGTCTCCTGCCGAGGCCATCTCTTTTCCCGCCAGCACCTGGCCAAGCTCAAGGAGGCAGTCCGAGCCCAGCTGAAGAGTGAAAGCAAGTGCTATGATTTGGCCCCAGCACCAGAGGCACCCCCGACTCCCAAGGCCCCACCTGCCACCACACCTGCCTCTATGCCCCTCGGGCCTGCCCCAGCCCTGCCTCGCCTGGCCCCGGTCCTCCTGTCCGGCCCAGCTCTGGCCCAGCCCCCGTTGAGCAGCTTAGCTCCTTTCAATTCAGGTGAGTGGGAGGCTGGGAGGAGTTGGACTTCAGAGACCATTTCCCTCTGACATGCCCTTTTCCTTCTTAAGTCTTCCCATCTTCGGTCTCCTCCTGTGGCCTTTGTTTGAGGCTCTTGGGGGAAAGACGGAAGAATGGGAGCATGGAGGCTAGGTGGTGGGAATGGGTGAGTGTGAGGCTGGATCAGGGGCCAGGAGTGGGCTAATCCATCACTCTTCATTTTCCTAGGCCCTGCAGCCACCTCAGGCCTTCTTGGCCTCACCACTTCGGTCCTGCCAGCTACCACAGTGGTCCAGACTGCTGGCCCAGGCTGCCCCTTACCTCAGAGACCTGTGCCTGACAAAACCAACACCTCCACAGCAGGCACCACTGACCCCGCCCCAGGCCCACCTACGGAGCCCTCTGGGGACAAGGTCTCTGGTGAGCGAAAGCCAATTGCAGCTCCTACCAACTCCTCCACGGACGCCCTCAAGAACCTCAAAGCATTGAAGGCCACTGTCCCAGCCCTGTTGGGGAGCCAATTCCTGCCCTTCCCATTGCCCCCTGCAGGGGGGGCCACGCCGCCAGCTGTCTTTGGCCCCCAGTTACAGGGGGCCTACTTTCAACAGCTTTATGGCATGAAGAAGGGGCTATTTCCCATGAACCCCGTGATACCTCAGACCCTCATCGGACTGCTCCCCAATGCCCTCCTCCAGCCACTGCCCCAGCCCCCAGAGCCCACAGCCACAGCACCTCCAAAGCCTCCGGAACTGCCTGCTCCAGGGGAGGGGGAGGCCGGGGAGGCCGATGAGCTGCTGACAGGCAGCACTGGCATCTCCACCGTGGATGTGACCCACCGCTACCTGTGCCGCCAGTGCAAGATGGCATTTGAAGGGGAGGCCCCTGCCACTGCTCATCAGAGATCCTTCTGCTTCTTTGGGCGGGGCTCCGGGGGCTCTGTGCCCCCGCCACTGCGGGTGCCCATCTGCACCTACCACTGCCTGGCATGTGAGGTGCTACTGAGTGGGCGTGAAGCCCTGGCCTCCCACCTGCGCTCCTCGGCCCACAGGCGCAAGGCGGCCCCGCCCCCAGGGGGCCCACCCATTACAGTCACCAAGGCCGCCACTGCCACCACGGCAGGTGCCGTGGCTTTTGCCAAAGAGGAAGCAAGATTACCTCACACGGACTCCAACCCTAAAACTACTACTACCTCTACACTTCTAGCTTTATAAACAGATAAACCAAGATCGGGGAGAGGGGAGGGCCTCAGGGCTCCCTCTCTTACCCCAAGGGGTGTTTGGTGGGAGCTCAAATCCCTCACCCCCAACCCTAGGCTCCGCCCACCTCATGGGAATCTTCCAATTCCCACCCTCAGTGGGCTTCACACACCCCACCTCCAGCAGAGTCCTGCCTCCTCCCCACCCCGTCCCAGACACACCACGTCCTCTGCAACTCCTTGCCATGTCTTCACAGACACACATCCCTACTTTGTCATCCTGATCATTCATTCATGTCTGCCCTGCCCACCATTCACAGAATCTATCCTTGGATCATCTTCCTACAACCTCTTCCCTACTGAATTCCCAATCGCCCCCCAATTCCTATAAACACATGCAAATACATGTTCTCCCATGCTGTTCCACTGACTGAGAAAAGACCAAAAAAAAAAAAAATGAAGAAAGGATAAAGAAAACCCAAGACAAAGAAAGGGGAAGGAAAATAAACTGCCACCCCCGCATCTCCTTCCTGCCCCCTTGTCTAGAGCGCCATACCGCTCACAAACTTTCCAAATACCGAGTTGGCTCCCAAGCCCACAAAGCTAACCAAACTTTAGGTTGGGTGGGGGAAGTGCTCCCAGCTCATTCTCACACCCCTCCCTCCTAACCCTCTCCCTGCCTGACAGGGGACTCCCTGTGGCCTGGACTCTGGGGAAGCTGCCGCCAGGAAGCCCTCTGCCAACCCCCACCCTGCACCGGGAACTGCAGTAACTTATTCTCAAAGGCTTTAAACACAGAGATCCTCTCAGCAGCCGTGGGCCTGGCCCTTGTCCCAGCCCTGCCATGTGGTCCAGCCTCCGGGACCGGCGCTGCCCACCAACGGCAAATCCAAAGTTCTTAAAAAAAACAAAAAACTGAGACACACACAACCAAATAAAAAGAGCACGTGCACACATGTGCACAGGAGAGAGAGATGGAGAGACCAGAGGAATGAACTAAAGAGAAACATAACTTTGGAAAATACAGAAAAGGAAAAACAAACAAAACCCTGAAAACTCTCCCATCAAAAAAGTGGTTTTTTTCCTGTTTGTGTCACTCCCCTCTCCCTTCCCCATTTTAGAGGTTTCTTTTTAAACCACCTCGTCTTTGGAAGATCAAATGGCTTTAAGTCCTTGCCAAGGGTACAGTAATCCTGGAGACAAAGTAGTGCAGCCTTGCCCGGGCCGTGACCAGCCTGGGTGGGAGCTGGTAACGGGGAGAAGAGCCTGGAGACTGGGGAGACACATCCTTGTCCCCTGAATTGAGTACCAGGACAGGTAACATCCCCTTATTCACTGAGAAAAATCAGTGTCGCCAAAAGTGTCTTGGCAATGCCAGGAGGAAAGCAAGGGGGAGATGGGGCAGTTTGGCTTCTGACTCTTGGGTATGCTTCCCTTTCTCGTAGCTAACCACCATTTCTTCTCACTTCTTTCACAAAGCCTCACTCCTATTTCCCTTCCTAGTGGCCCCTTCACATTTTTGGTCACAAAGTCTTTGGGGCCCCTTGTTCCTCATCTGTGTTCTTCCCCCTTGTCCTCTGCCCTGGCCTCTGTTCCCTCAGCCCAGCCCCTCCAGTAAGCAGCAGATGCTGCGGGCACCCCCAAAGGAGTCGGCCTGTCATGAGGCCCATGGGGGCCTAGGACTGACTGATGATTGTTGGGGGGATGGGTGGGCAAAAGAAATGACTGAAACACAAGGTGACTTTGATAGGGTGATATCACCAAGGGCACCAACAGAAGAGGAAAGATCTGGGAAAGGGTTCCCCACCTCTATCCTAATTGTCTTTGTAAGCATTGGGTGGAAAGTGTGGCAACCCCAAAGCCCAGCTAAAGTGGCACAGGGTGGTAAAGCAGGTGTTTTATTTTAGCAAAGAAAAGCCTGCAAAACTCTACAGTCCTCCTGGTAGTTTCTCCTACTGCCCTTGCCCCTAAGACCTCCCCTCCCTTTCAAGGTAGTCTGCTTCCAGACTTTCTCCCTTCTGGCGTCTTCCACTCCCATTCTCCATTTCATACGTACACACAAATTCAGCCAACCCTGGATTTAGGTTTCCCGGTCTCTCTGTCACTCTACTCTGTGCACATGCTAATACAGAAGCAGTGGCTTATGTGCAGAAAAGATGGGAGGGGAGAGGGAAAATGGCTGTCCCTAGTCCCCATATGTTCTGTGAATCTCACTTCCGGTCCCATTCATCTCTAAAATTAAAAGCTCCAACTCTAGCAAACTGGGGTGGGGTTATTCTGATGATGCCAAAAATGCCAGTTACAAATGCAGGCAGGAGGAGAGAAACTGCCCTACTGTGGTCTTGCTCTTGCTGTCACCTTCCCCCACCTCTCAACATCTCTCTTGCACCCCCTCCCTCCCTAACCTTTTCTCTCTCCTGTTGAAATTCTGTGTATAAAACTATTTTCTTAGCAGCATGTGTATGAAGAAAGAAGCTTTTTCATTCTGTGCTTTCTGGGAATGTGACTTATGTATAAAAGTTGAAAAAAAAATAGAGAAAAAGGAACCGTTTTAAAGAAAACCTTGACAAACATCTGGCATGGGATGATTAGAGGTGTGGTGTCATGCATTTTAGAGATTTACAGCCAGGGTAGGTTGGTTTTAGTTTAAACCATGAATATTTTCACCAGGAGTTAAAACAGCCAAAAATCCCTCCTCCTCTGGCCCTCCAATGTATTCTCTTACACCCAGGTAAGATGCCCTGGCCTGGAGACACCAGGGATATTTACAGTACACAGGAGCAGCTGACCTTACCAGGAACCCTGTGATTTGAGGGACAAAAAAGCCAGACTGACTCTGCTGACTTAGGGCAATCAACATGCTTCTGGAAGGTGCGCCATTCCATGTTCCAAGTGGCTGGCAACGTCCCCCACCCCAACCCCTTCCTGAGACCAAGTCCTCAGCAGCAGCACTCCCGCTGCAGAGATGCGCAGTGGACCGTCCTGGCTGGCAGAGGGCTGAGTCAGCACAGCCCTGTGCAGAATGCTAGAGGTGAACGCCCGGTCACCCAGGTTGCTCCTGTGTAGTGGTAAACCCAACTCAAGTGCCCAACACAGCAACCCCAGTCTTACAGAACACTCCACGCCCTTAAAGTGAGCATGAATTAATGGCTTCTAAAATTGGTCTTCCATGTCTTGGGGCAAAGGCCTAGGGTTTCTGACATACGTGGGTCCTAAAACAGCTAAATTCTGGTCCACCCTACTGACTGTCAGAAGGCAGGAAATGGAAATGATCTTGGCTATCTTTGCTCTAAATCAGAGTCTGGGTGGGGATGGTTTAAGATACCCAATTCTCAAGTGGGAACAAAAATCAAAGTCTGTATGAGAAAATCTGAAGCCTTAGTGGCCAAATGGGGCAGAATCTGCAATAGGACCACAAAATGAAACCTGTTCTCCGGAACCTCTAACCCCTGGAGTGTACTTACAGAAACATATGCAAAAGACCCAAAAAGGCCAATTATTCCACACACAGTAGCACCTACCTGCTTAATTCCTTCTATTTGTTTGTTAACCACTTGCAGTGCTTATAGACCAGATCATTGATTCCCCATATCTTTACCACCCTGATATGTTTTAGGGCACATTCACTCGTGCACTCATTCACCCCTGTGTAGACATTCACACCTGAAGTACAGAGCTCTGTATATAACTGCGCCAATGCAACGCAAGAAGACGGCAGCAGAACCATGCATAGAGAGATGCAGGGATACACACAAATGCCAGCAAGGATAGGCCCCGTGGGCATTCAGGGACAAGGGACACGCCCCAGACCCATCACCTACACTCCCCTCAGTAGAAACACCTTCCAATACATAGCAATTTTCTTCACACAACAGTAGGTAGGAAAAGCTTATAAACAAGGAAGTGTAACCAGTATCAGGAAAGGTGGTCAAATGTTGGACATTAATCCACAGGGAAAGGACCTTAAATTCCTCTGGAGTGTGACACTAGGGAGGTAGAAGAGAAATCAGTAGGAAACTTCAGGGGAAGCTTACATGCAACACGGGTTAGCTGAGCTGGGACCCTGTGTTACAGGAAGGGCAAGGTACTGGGGAGCACTTCCCTTTAGGCTACAGTGGGAAGTGCAAACCACCAGTGGGAAGCCACAATGAGCAACATGTAAGGCAGGAGGATGACACTTGTAGAGGACTGAGTAAGGAAGAAATGCCCCAATACCAAGGAAGCTCTTGCTACAAGAAAAGGTGTAGACTCAGCGTTATGGTCTATAGGATTACAGCCTGGATACACTATGAAAAGGTCAGCTGAAAGAAAAGCGAGGGAGAGGACGTGTAGAAGACGTAGGGCAAGGTTCAAGTTTGCGAAAAGATGGGAAGTGATCCCCAGGGACTATCTCCCAGGGAGAGACGACACTTTGTGGGAAGAACATGATTGGGTGGCGACCCATCCCTTCATTCTCCTTCATACAGAGGACCTGGACAGCTGTCCCCACAAAGGATAGGTGAGGGGTAAATGGCATTATTCCCTGTTAGTCTGAGCCTGGCTTTCTTGCAGTTCCCCAGCCATGGAGAGGTATCTGGCTAGAAGGTAGTGGGGAAGCAGGTTGATTATCAGTGGACCAGAAAGAAGGTGAGGGGGAAAGGTGACCCAAGATCTGATTCATACATAATCTGACCCAACCATATATAAACTCTTACACAAATAATGGCTAAAGCACCGAAATGAGCAATCAGCAGGAGCTCAGCACTGCCTCACGTCTAGTTGCTCCCTGATCCCCATGCCTGCATCATGTCTTCGCAACTGGAAGGACCTGCGCTGTGCTCACTCCTGCACAGCCCACCAAGTGCTTATAGGACAGCATCATCAGACACTTGCTCGGCCCTGCACTCCGCTCACCCCGCTTCCACTGCTGGGACCCTGAGCTGAGTCCAGAGAGAAGTGTCACAAGGACCCATCTTGTACTGAGCCACAGAATCCACACCAATCTGGACCATAGAGCAACATCCTGACAGTGCTCCTAACCTGGTGGTTCTTAGTGGTGAGGTTTCACACACAGGGCAGCCAACCCTCAGAATCTGAGGTGAAAGGAAGAGTGAATTTTGAAAGTGTTCCCTAAGGATGTCTTCTGTGATAATTATTGTCAATGGAAAGCATAGTTCTCACAAGTTAAATCTGCCCGATTTGACCTCACAATCGCCCCCTTTTCCTTCTGTCCCCACCTAAAACACATGTACACATCCCACAACACATATATCACACGTGTGACAGCATGAAGACATGACTATGGTTGGGGAGGAAAAAAAGAGGCAAAAGGCGTGAGACTCCAGACTAGATCAGCTGTCCTGCAAGGTGACTGCCATCTCTTAGAACAGCGTTTCTCAAGTTTTGTCCACCTGCGTCATGGTTACCCGAGTGCTTGTTTTAAATGCACATTCCTGGACCACACCGCAGATTCACTGAATCAGAAACTCCTGAAGTGATTCTGTGCCCTAATACACTACTTAGGCTACTCAGCCCCATATGCATCTGGGCCCTGCCCCCATCTCTCTAGCACCCAGGGCCCAGCTCTGCTCCACCAGCGCTACCACACAGTGGCCTAATATTAATATCCCCTCAGATGGTCTTCGTCATTACCCTCACACCACCCCCACCTCCAACATTTTGGAAATCTGACAGTGTCTTCTGTTTATGTTGGTTGTTCTTGAACAGGAGAAAAGTTATAAACATTGTCCACTCACCCCCTTGGCTGATCGCCTCACTGCTTTCCCCACTGCTGTGGAAACCACCTCGCTTCTTCTGAAACTTCATTCCATTTCGAGATGCTGAAATCGAAACGCCCCTAGCTCCAAGCAGTTCATCCCAGGACGGGCAATAGCCTTACTTCCCTCTGGGCAGGGCCTATTCCCCATCAGAGCCACCCAGCCTCCCTCGGCATCACTCAGAGCCAATTCTTCTGCCCAGAGATCTTCCTAGTACTGCCCCACAGTTTCTGGCTACCCAGGAAACAAGGAAAACCCAACCTGCTAGAAGTTCTTCCAGGTGGAAGCCCAAGGTCCAGTTTTGTGGGACTACCGATGGCACTGCCTCTGGAGGCGCAGGGCTGGTCTGTCACCACAGACGGTGGGCACGCTGCTCCTGGGGACCTACCTTCCTCTCTCCCAGGGCTCGCTGCCGATCTAGGGTCTCCCTTCCAGGGGTGGATTTCAAAGACACGGAGATTTATCCAACTCTAACTGGGGCCATTGAGAGATTCCTAATCACAAAATCTCCTTCAACAGTCCTCTGGAAGGACAAGTCCAGGTGCTTTTGTCTTCCTAACACCTGCCTATCTCTAGACCTAGAGCACCACTCCATCTTTCTAGGACCGTTATTGAATACGGGCCTTTTAACAGGGGAGAAAGAACTGGTTCATCTCAGCCACAGCTCAGCCAATCACAAGGCACAAGGCAGAATGTAATACATACAGGCACAAACCACCCCGCCACCCAACAGCAAGGCCTGAGGGGCTCTGCTACTTGCCACTTTTTCCCTTCACTCTCTTCTGGCACCTCCTTTGTGACAACACAGCTGGCTGGCCTCTCTCCAGGACCTCATTTCACCCTCCTCCAATTATTTCTATCCTTGCTGACTAAAGAGGTATATAGTCCACTGGCCTGGAGCCTTGGCTGTGACTCTCGCCTGTGTCCTTGTCCCTCCGTGCTCCAGCTTCTCTTGGAATAGCTGCTCAAACCCTGAATGTGGCACCATCTAAACCCCTTTCTTGGGGGCTGTGAGGGTAGGCAGGTGGCTGTCGGGTTGGGAGGAAGGAGTAGCTGGGGCGGGTTGGAGGGTACTGATTTAGCCCCACTGATGGGAACATCCTCTGATGCTACTCCCTCCCCAGGCAGAGCTCTGCCTGATGCCTGGCATGCCAACGCGTGCCGCCCCGCTCTCACTGCCGCCAAGTGGCGGTCGTGAGCACCTTTGGCGGGTTTGGGTATGCCGCATTGCCAGGATCTGAAACAATGTTCACGTGCCAGTGCAGCATTGCCAAGTGTGGCGGCATCTAGTGGGTTGGGTGCCAAGCAGTAGGACCCAGGTGGTGATAGAGAAAGAGGGGTGGAGTGGAGGGAAGGGAAGGAGCCGGAGGCCCCAGGGAGAAAATCAGACGCCTCACTTGTTAGAGTGGAGTCCAAATGGGATCGCAGAAAGGTGCCCTTCCCATTCTAGATCCCAGCTCAGCGAGCAAGCCTTTCCCTCCCCGACCATGCCCGCATAGTAACATATACAGACCAGGCGAGGGGATTTGGCCATCTTCAGCAGGAGGCTGGCTGGGGGCCAGGCAGACTGCCAGCCTCTCCATCCTTCTTCCTTGGGGTCTTGGCAATGGCGCACTTCCTCCTTTGTGTCCTCATGCCTCTCTCCGTCTGTTGCTCCACTTCCCATGCCTAAGAGGGAACGGTAAGGAGGTCCTGGCAGAAAAAAGTCTGTTCTCCCAAACAACTCACACACACACACACACACACACACACACACACACACACACACACACACACCTCGCCTCCTCCCTTTTTACTCCTGGCACAACCCTCTCAACCAGATTGGCAAGAGGCACTGCCATCCTCCCCCATTCCTCACAATGCCAGAGCGTGCGCCAGGCTCCTTGGGCAGTGCCAGCACCCACCCACCTCACCCGGGTCCCCTTGCCTCTCCTTCAGGGCTCTGACAAAGGGCCAGACTGCTAGCGCCAACGAGCTCTCCCTGGGGAGAAGTGGCACAGTCCTCCTCCTGACTCTTAGATGCTTTCTTGGCACTTCCCTGGCTACTCTCTCCACCACTTTACATTCTCAGACTGGAAGAGGACAAACTACCTCATAGTCCAACCGCTTCTCAGAGCTGAGCTCTAGAGGGACCGCAACATCAGCAACACATCCCCGCCCCTCCTCTCTGCCTCCTGGGGCCCCTGTTTCCACTGCCCCAGCTTAGGGCACCATCCTGATGGATGTGATGCCAATGACTCCCGGGTACCGAGCCTTCCTCCCAGAGCACCAGGACTCCTGCCGCTGTTCCCCTCCCCATTCACCTCCTTCCATCTCCGCGGGTACAAGGGTGGCAGCTGCAGTGCCAATGCCTGTAAGCTGGCAGCATGAAGCAGCTCATGCACCCTCTTCTGCCCTCCCAGGCCCCAAACTCTCCCCTCCTTTTTCCATTCCCTGTCCTTCTGGTTGGACACTAGATTGGCAACCGCAGTGCCAATCCCCACCTATGCCCAGGAGGCTCACATACAGCAAGCGCTTATGCGTACATGTACATGCGCACACACACACACATGCACACACACGGCCCCATGAGTGCCAGGCAGCGGTGGCAGACACACAGCAATGCATAGTGACTGGTATACCCGAGGAGGCAGCCAGATTCGGCACCTGATCCAGCACCCATTTGGGATTGGGTGGGTAGGCGGGCGGGCAGGCGGGCGGAGGGGTGATGGAGGCAGACGATGGCCCTAGGTTGGCAGCCGATGGAGCTGGGAGAATGGAGGGAACAGATGCTCTTTGCCCAGCCTCCCTCCCTCTCTCTCCGAGATCAGTGCCAAGCTGGGGGGGATGGGGAGAGGGGAGGATGGGGGAAGGGTGGCATTTGGAAAGCTGGCAGGCGGGGTGGCGGGGGGGAGCTGGGTCCGCCCAGGCTGGGCAGTGCCGGCACTGGCTGCTGCCTCTCCACTCTGCCATCTGTCTCGCTTCTCTCCCCACCCCCTTTCTTTCTCTCTCTCTCCCTCTCTCTCTCTCTCTCTCTCTCTCCATCCACAACAAAATGAAAAGAGGAAAACAGGGTCTTCATTCTGCCCACCCCCAACCTCTACCAGACCCCCTCTCCTCCTTCCCACAACTCACCACACCACACCACCACCAAGCCATCTGTGCTCTCTCCTCCTGGCTCGGTCACCTTCTTTCATTCGCCTTCGCCCTCACACCAAAACGGGTGCAATGTTTTAAAATATATATACCTATATAATTTTTAAAGCAACTTAAAAGAAAAACTCTTTTCTTTGGGAATGTCCTATCCTTCTGAATCTGGGTCCTCGGTGCCAATGTTTATGGCAGGCAGAGGGAGGGGACCCTGTCCTCAGCTGGTGCCCATGAATCCCATGCCAGGGAGGAGGGGTGGCTGGGGTGGGGTATCGGGAGAGCGCTCTTCTCTCTGCGCCTGTGGTGGCTTCTTTTTTTT